GCGTGACGGTCATCAGTCATGACAGTGAGAGAAGAACTCATGTTGGGAACATTCCTGGATGTGGTGGACGCGGATGTTACAGAAAAGATGTGCGATACACTGGAGTCAGCACCGCTCAGCTGGCAGCGCTCACTCGAGTCTCACAGAGCTGTGAACAGTTTATCAAGTTCGAGTGCAACCATGACGTAGCTTTTATCGAGCAAAATTACGCTTGGTGGGTGTCACGTGATGGAACAAAGATGAACTACTGGGGAGGAGCATCAGGCTCTGATAAGATGTGCGCATGTGGAGTAACAAATTCTTGTTCAAATGGCAAAAAGTGTAATTGTCACAACAGTGGCAGTGGCTGGAGAGAAGACAGCGGTCTGTTGACAGACAAGTCTGCTTTACCAGTTACACAAATCATACTCGGAGACTTGAATCATATTACGGAAGAAGGATATCATACATTAGGGAAACTCAAGTGTTATGGTGTGGCATAAGGCCACATCTTAATATATACAGTACAGCAGCTTAGTACAGTGCAGCAAGTGTGACTGAACTTGGAAACACAAAAAAGATCTTTCTGAATTTTAGTTGCCTTGGTTGTCAGGAAGGAGTTGAGTCAAGAGATTTTAAAAAATCTAACTTTTTCAGTTCTTTAGCTTGATTGGGTGATCAAGTTTTTTTTTTTTTGCGAAGAAACTCCATTGGTTTTCCAACCCTCACATTACGTCAATAAACAAGGTTTGACCGAGGAAGGTCGGACATTTTCTAAAAGATGACTATTCCTCAGTCTTTTTTTAGTGAAATAATTCAAATTGGTGTAAAGCAAGATCTCCAATGAGATTGGTTATGTCTTTCCTACCAGTGGCATCGTGAGTATTGCGTTCCCAAAGCTTTAGAAATTGGAGCTAACTTTCTAGTTACTCTACAAATGTTAGGCATAGCATCTGGAATACTAAAAATGATCAGCTACACAGAAAAGATTTCAATAACATCAAAAACAGAATTCTTCCTCACTCGTATGACCCTATTGCGGCCTTGAACCAGACTAAGGAAGAAAGACTGCCAATCTATTATCTGTCATGATCAGCATATAAGCCATGAGAGAGGCTTGGGTACGAGAAAAGAAGCACTTCCTGTCTATTTTTTTAAAATTTTTTTTTATTTAACCCTTTATTTCAAATCAAAAGCGTAACTATAAGAGAGGATGTTTTTGCATCGTAAGCAAACAGAATGACACTCTGTTAAGATTGATACTGAGCCTTTGAGAATTAACGACAGGAAAAAAAAAAACTCCTCTGATGCCCACATTTTATTTTCTTTCAGCTTTCAAGACGAGTCTGATCAAGACTTAAAATGCAGAGTTTTATTTTCGGTATAAAAATTATTTAGGTTAACCTCAACACATCAGTCAACAGTCAAAGAGTCACGTGCTGCTCTACTCAAATGATGATTATTTTGGCTCTGTTTCGTGTCGTTTCAGTTTGATTTAAAAATATAACATTCCTTGTGCAAAAGCTGTTTTACCAAAAGAAGTTATCTTTTACCCCTTAATGTTACTTTTATTGATGAATTACTAAAAAAATTTCAATATTTTTCGCTCGAGCGGCCGGAAAAACTAATTCTTTATGGAATTCACAACTAGAGCACAATAAAGGCTTAGGAGGAGCTTTAATTCGCTTGAGATTACAGCTTTGAAAAACTAAAAGTACTTGGGAGAGAAACGTTTTTTTAGAATAATTTTCACATGAGAAGATAGATAAAGTTTGCTTACCTTTTTTTACCTCTCGGTTTTTCATTCAGTTGGTGCATCCATCATTCAAAAACCCTCATCAGTTATCGTTGAAGAAGGATAGAAGGTGAGTCTGGTTTGCCAAGCTATCGGTCAGCCGACACCAACGGTCACGTAGCGAAAAGCAGTCGGTCACATGTAAATCCAAAAGATTAAGAGTTTTTAATGGCAGATTGGAAATAACCAATGTGACTAAAACAGACAGAGGAGACTACACATGTTCGGCAAAGAACATTCTTAACGAGGACTCGGCCCATACACAAGTCACCGTGTTTGAACAACCCAAGTTCACATTACTCCCTCCCCATAAACGTTTGGCCTCACCTCAGAAAATGTGTTACTGACTTGCAAACCACAAGGAGCAAGAGAAGTCGTATGGCAGGGGAACGGTCAAGGTCTGCCCTCAGGTCATATCCTTTATTCAAATGGCTCTCTACTTTTAAAAAATGTTGCTCGCCACGATGCTGGATCCTACAGTTGCATCACACGAAATATTCACCGCTTTGTTATTGCAACTACCGTGCTTGAATTTCGAAAACCAACCTCTTGTAGTGACATAAAGACACACAGTGGAGGAAAATCTTCAGGTACTTATATGATTGATCCTGATGGAAAAGGAGGCGTGACACCCTTCAATGTGTACTGTGACATGGGTGACCGTGACCCAGATCAGAAGAAGGATATCATACATTAGGAAAACTCAAGTGTTATGACGTGGCTTACATTTTAATATGTATAGTGCAGCAAGTGTGACTGAACTTGGAAAAATATCAATCTTTCTGAAATTCAGTTGCATTAATTTTAAGTAAGGACTTGATTAAAGAGATTTTAGAAAGCTAACTTTTTTATTTCTTTAGCTTGACTTTCTTTTGCGAAGAACCCATTGGTTTTCCAACCCTTACATAACGTCAATAAACAAGGCAGCTAGCCAAGGAAGGTCTGTTGCATTTTCTGAAAGATGGCTATTCCTTAGTCTTTATATTAGTGAAAGTATTCAAATTGGTGTGGAGCAAGTTCTCTAATGCCATTCGTTATGTCCTTCCCTGCAAGTGTCATCCCTAGCATGGCGTTCCCAAAGCTCTAGAAATTGGAGGTAACTTTCTAATTACACTATAAATGTTAAGCATAGCATTTGGAATACTAGAAATAATCATCTAAACAGAGTAGATTCCAATACCATCAAAAACAGCATTTTTCATTGTTTGTATGACCCTATTTAGCCTTGGACTAGACTATGGATGGAAGGAAGGAAGGCTGCCAATCTATTATCTGTCAAGATCAACATATAAGCCTGGAGAGAGGCTTGGGTACGAGAAAAGAAGCACTTCCTATCTCTTTGTCAGCACCCATTGAAAGATAAATATCTGAAAAGTCAAATGAAGAAGTGGACTAATCCGAAGTCTAAGGCTCTAGAAATCCTGAATCGTTATTCCTTTTCTGGCAAGCACACCGTGACTCCTTGAACAGAGGTCCTTAATGGGGTTAACTGATAGCCATCACACGGCCTTAAACTTTAGCCGTTAGGCGTAAAAATTGACAAATTTTAACCGTTAGTTGAAAAAAAACGTTAACCGTAAAAAATGTCTGATGGAAACAATGAAAAGACGTTAACTGTTAGCCGTAAATTGGCCAAAACTTTAACCGTTAGCCGTAAAAGCTATCACCTCATTGACACCCTCTGAACAGGAAAAACAACGTCAATTCCACGTTGCA